CTTACCATGCCTATCAATGAGAATAAAATTTTATTAAATACGAAATATTTTGCTTCTATTACTATGAATGCAACATAATTTTTCCATAAGACTATAAGCACAACTAGCACTTTATTGTTTGCATATTCGCTCAGAACATTGTAGAACGAGGCAATCGTTGTCAATGAAACAAAGGTCTGTAGTAATTCCGGACGTTATAGAACAAATGCCTTCGGTCGGTTTCAATACTGTATCTATCTGTAGGTTTGGTTACGGGAGATAGATTATTTACGTAATTATTATAGAGCTAATGTCTAAATACCTGTCACTATCGGCCATTAATCATCAAACATAAAACAAAGAAACGGCGAGTGTATCCCGTCATCTGGCAATTATCTGCCGACTTCTCTACCGCAATTAGCAATTCAAACATTCGATGCCAGCTCACGTTTAGCGGTTTGCAGAAAGCGCTGGGAAATTGTCAACAGTTGACTAGGAAGGGGCACTTATGAAACAACGCTTGCAATGCAAAATGTATCCACGACCTCTACAGCTTTCAAAAGGAGCCTACTTTTATGATAGAATGAGGTACTCGAACCCGTGAACTTAGTGTTAAGTGATAACCGGAACCAATAGCGTTTACATGTTTGCATTAAGTAACAGTTTATATATGGAAAGGCCTCCTGTAAGGAGGTTGCCTTTCGCCGTATATAGGCAGATCAGATCAGAGCATAGCCCACGCGATCTCACTGCGGATTGGCGGACTTCACGTATCTTCGAAATATTTTTTATTATTATTATTTTGAAAATATGCAAGTTTCCTCACGATATTTTACTTCACCGGTGAGCACATGATAACGCAACACTAAAAATTAACAGTTTCATTGGTGTCGGCACCGGGGATCGAACTCAGGTTGCTCGAGTAAATAGAATTAAAGGCGAGCGCCCGGACACAGCTATCGCGGCTCTTCGTGTAAGGTGGGCCCGAATTTACCCACAAAATCAAGGGTAAAAGTGTTTCTTCTCATGTCTGCTTTCTATGAGACCGTGGTACTTCCTCGGATGAGCTATCTCGACTACTTAGATCTACCACGATAAACTCAGCCATATTATAATAATCCTTATCAAAGGTAGCGTTGACACAACTAAAATTGCGGACGGCTATAGAAGAAATTATTTGGATCTAGCTGCTGTCCGCGACTACGTCTGCGTAGAATAGGCTGAAGGCGTAACATTCAGACAGAAAGACATATATACATAAAATATGTATATAAATTATAGCCTATGTGTTATTCTGATGTATAAGCTATATTAAGCTGTTTCATTAAAATCCATTCAGTAGTATTTGCGTGAAGGAGTAACAAACATCCATCCATACATACATACAAACTTTTGCATCCATACATACATACAATTTTATAATATGAGTAGGATAAGTAAGGATATATACCCGGAGGTAAAAAGGTTTTTAGCTATATATACACAGGTGTATATAATATGGTATATTATTTTATATTATATGGTATATTATAACAACAATAGTAAGTAAATAATTTAATCATATATTATAACTGTATGTATGATGTAAAAATTAATTAAGCTCACAGCCACGACTCAAAGCTATTACCATTATTCAACCGCGGGCTCTAAAATATAATTTCAGATTGCGTTAACCCGTAACAGCTAAACGAAAGGAGTGAACAAAAGAAAGTTATTTTTTTTCAACATGTCCGCTTTCTAACTCGCAATTCGTTTGATAACTTGCCAAGGTATTGGCGTCAGGGGTCGTGGGTTCGATTCCCACACGGGGCAACTATTTGTGCGACCCACAGGTAGTTGTTTCGCATCTGGGTGTTTGGGCACGTGAAATTAATGTTTGTAAAACGTCCTTACAATACAGGATAATATTATCCTACAGTAAGGGCAATGTTTAAAAAAAGAAGAAATACATACACACAAACGCCTGAATAAAAAATGCAGAATAGACTCATATATATAATGACAAATGGAAGCCAAGTTCTCTGGTCAGTCCTGAAATTTATTTATAACAACATAAATTATTTTATAACAACATAAAATAACATTTCTTCTTATAACTTAGGATAAAATATTGAACTCTAAGGTCTAAATTGGCTAGTTCGAATACAAGAATTATTATTAAATACCTACTAAAACAGTCATGGAAGAGCCGATAGCTGGTTTCTACCATCAAGTCAAATTTACAGTCCAATGACCATTTATCAATCAGGTGACCTCTCTTTGTTCACTGTTATACGAATGGGCAGGTCCGTCCGGGTAAGTACCACGACCTCACAGAAGACCGGCTTAAAGTAGAAGTGTTACACTTCTGCCGTTCGTCCGGTGAGTGAGGCAGCCGGGGCACACTTTACTTAAAGGTGACAACGCATTTGCACACCTATGGGTGTTGCAAAATACCATGGGCTGCGGTGAAGCGTGCGGGGTGAACCGTCAGCTCGTTGGCCACTTTATCACATAAAAAAAAACTATAAAGCCGAAAACGCTCACTCTTAACGATTCCAGCGAGCAAAAGCCCCGAGGCACTGACGAACCGCGACGGCATGATTCCCCATTACAAATGACGTACGTACGAACAGTTATTACGCGCAATAACTTTAATGTTCGCCGATGCGGTCGCAAACTTTCTCGCATCAATCGGGCGATAGCGAATTTCGAAACGCCGAGTTGTAGCGCCATTATGCAATATATATCACGGGATGTAAACGAATCGTATCACCTAAACTGTAGAGTTGCCCGGTATGAATAAGGTAGGTTTAAATATAACAAGTAATAAATAATTCAAGACGTATTTTTACACACATCTAGCCCAAACTAATCAAAGCTTGTACTATGGGTACTAGGTAATTGATAAACGCATTAAAACATACTTTACTATTGTTAATAAATACATATATCAAATATATGAACACCTAGACAATAGAAAAACATTATGTTTATCATTCAATATTTTTCCAGTAGTGGTCATCTGACGCTCGCTCACACGTTCGCTCTGCCGCAAGAGACAGATGTACTAACTACGACAAACGGATCGTCAAAATCCTTCAAATGTTCAGAATAAAGCTCTTATAAATCTTCCCCGAGCAACTGAGTTTAATCTGGCGATAGCGGTGGCCTATTTGGGCTGTTTATTCGGCTTGCGAATAATGAATAATCCATACTTCCATACCAATTATATAAATGCGAAAGTAGCTCTGTCTGTCTGTCTTGCTTTCACGCCAAAACTACTGAACCGATTTAAATGAAATTTGGTACACAGATAGTCTAGAGCCTGAGAAAGGGCATAGGCTATTTTTAATTGGAAAAAGGGCTATAAAGGATTCTTAAAGGGGATAGATATTTATATAAGGGCTTCAACGCGAGCGAAGACGCGGGCGAAAAGCTAGTAATAAATATTTAGGACACATTTTGACACAACGTTCTCTAATCGCAAACTCAGCAACGCTTGTACTACGGGTACTATTTTTTTCTTTTGTAAATAAATACATATATAAACACCCAAACACTGGAAATGCGCTATGTTCATCAATACAATATTTTTCCAGTAGTGGTGATCGATCCCACGCCCTCTGGTGCGAGAGGCAGGTTCACTACTCCCCACGCCAATCGGGTCATCATATGCCAATGCCGATAATATTTATAGACGATTGAGTTAGAGTAGAAAAGAGAGAGAAAGAGTTAGAAAGAGTAAGAGAAAGAGAGAAAGACACGTGTAGCCCCTAGGTATACCAAAAGCAGCGATTTTACTCTATTTTTATATGAAACAGTCATCACAGAAGCAAAGTACTAAGATATAACTATTTTTAAGGCGAAGAATATAAACAGTTTTGAAAAACAACGCTTAGTTTAATTTAAAGATAAAACAGTTCTTTGTGAATGAGAATGATGGGAGGTAATTATTAACACGGTCATTTACGTTACAGGCTGTGCGGTGATTATTGGGAGAACTGTTTGTTTGACTTATCTACCAGTACTTCTAACTATCTATCTTAATTACGGAGTTAGGCACGCGGAAAGTACATACTCATCTGTTAGTGTGGGTAAATCTGAAGGGCCACGCAACAGCTCTTGTTGTTGCACGAATGGGCAGACTCGTCTGAGGAAATACCACGGCCTCACAGAAGGCCAGCGTGAAGTCGAAGTAAACTTACGCGTTACCTCTGGTAAGTGGAGTAGCCGGGGGGCCGCTTTAAAGACTGTTTCTCCATAAGCCTAACACTGTATTTTGTATTTATTTTATTTTCTAGTAGAGGAAAGTCACCAAATATGGAATAGTATAATATGGAATAAAGCAATTTCTCTAAGAATATAAGTATGAAACGAAACACATGACCATCTTCTGTTTCATTCGGTCTATTTACTACCTCACTCACACCATCGTGTTAGTTGCGCGAACGCTACAAGTGTGGCCGGTGTTTTTTGTTTTGTTGTGCAGAAATTTTTAAAGGTAAGTAATAATTGAGTATTACCAGTATTACGTATTATACATAGGTGTTTTACTATTTAGTATATCGATATTTATTTTATTTCAACGTTTTGTGATATTCTGTCATTAAAATATTGTGATTTGTTTAGATGATTTTAAACAAGTATAAAAATCCAAATATGGACAGTCGTTATCTAATTATGGAATATTCCATAATTAGGTCTTTATATTTTACATGTTAGGTACTTGCTACTGTTTCTTTAAGAACTTATGTTATGTTTGTTTTTAGAATGTCTGCTTCACAATCAACCAAGAAACGAAAAAAAACCTTGAAGAAAAAATGGCAGAAGCTATAAAATTCGTCCGGGGAAATAAAATGGGATATTTGAAAGCAGCACAGCATTTTGAAAGAAAAGCTGCTATAGCAACAGTCATAACATCTTCACCCTACAAAAATTATTTAGTAAATAAAAATATGAAGAGACAAGAAAAAGAAAAAGTAAGACAAAGAATAAGAAGAAAACTGCGAAGAGAAACAAACAAACGAAGAAAAATAGAAATGATTGTGAAGAAGAAGACTCGGAAGGAACGGGACGTCATCCAGTTTGATGAAGACAGTGAACATGATGAGTTGATGGACCAAGTATCTCCTAACTCTGCTGATGCAGAATGTATGTTCTGTTCAAACCTTTTCTCCATGGATAAAAGTGGAGAAAGCTGGATTAAATGCTTGATGTGTGGACTCTGGGCACATTATGAAAACTTTAATACTTTGATGTGTGACTTTTGCTTTTGTTGAAGTAATTTAGTAACTTCGTTTGTTTATAACAATATGTTATTTTAATTTATTTGATCTCATAGATATTTATGTCTATTTTTGTGTATTGATATGATGATTTATGCTTATATTCCATATATGGGTACCTATTCCATATTTGGTTACTCATTTGTGATTTTGGTTTTTGTGTTAGATTTTAATTTGGTAACTAATATATTTGATTAAAGGCTGTTAATTACTAAATATAAATGTCTGACTGATTAGTAATTACATTAAACTGTTTTAGTTTCCATGAAGTTTTTTTTTTATATCCCTGAAACAAAATGGTATTCCATATTGGGTGACTTTCCTCTATATTATTTATTTTATGGTTGTAGGTTATTTTGTTTAGTTAAACTATCTATGTTTCACAAATTTTGTTGTTTACAATGTGATTTACAATGAAATAAATCATATTGTATTGTAATTAAACGTTAAAAAAACTTCTTACGCCTTAGTACTGATTCTTGCAATCGTTACTGGTATACAAATAGTGATATTGTACATACGAAGAATTCTATAGATACACATACGAGTATCGCGGTCAGATAAGATTTGAAGAGTAACCGCTGATTATAAAGGGCATTTCGGACGCGCAGTATGCTACACAATAAATTGCGACTGTGTTCAGGTGCAAACCGTATAGCGATCGACGAAATATAATAAAACCTTATCGCTCCACCTCCACACTCTTATCGCGGTCGTAATTTAACGTCTGATAACGTAACCTTTTTCAGCATTAGCGGTTACGCGGAACATTTAACCGCGAGCGCTGAGCAAATAAAGTTAAAAAATCGTTAGCCTCTGCGCAGGCGACGCTGTTGCCGGATATATCTTTGTGGCAGGGTTCAAAGTGGGCCCCGGATACCTTACTCACAATACGAAACGCTGAAATAGGACCTGCCCATTCGTGTAACAGCAAAGAATGTTGCGTGGCCATACCATAGTACACGCTTGACGGCTATGGCCTAATACATTTTGTACAGAGGAGAAATATAAACTCTATCGCCATAAATACTTACTTAATATTATAAAGGCGAAAGTTTGTATGTATGTATTGATGGATGTTTGTTACTCCTTCACGCAAATACTACTGAATGGTTTTTAATGAAACTTTACAATAATATAGCTTACACTTCAGAATAAAACATAAGCTATAATTTTATACATATTTTTTGTATATCTGTCTTTCTGTCTGAATGTTACGCCTTCAGTCTATTCTACGCAGACGTAGTCGCGGGCAGCAGCTAGTACTGTCTATAACTGTGAAACGGAAGTTCCCATGATATCCAATAACGTCTTCCGTCAAATTAACTCGGTACAGTCGTTTCCAAATAGTGAACCGCATTACACTCTCGGCACAATAAACTTGAGACGTTCAAATTCGGGTCGTTGCACGCGACTGTACGGCCAGCAGGTGGGGAACGGCCAGGTTTTTTCCCCCAATTACTCCGAGGCTTCTAACGAGTGATCCTGTGGGAACTGCACGGTAATCCGATCCTTAAAGGGCTCGGGCCGGGCGGATGCGCGTCAACCGCCTCGCGAGGCCCTATGCGATGTGAATAAGGCCGAATTTCCCAAGTCAGCCCCGCCGCTCGCTGGACCCACCGCTGAGACGTCGGCGTCGACCTACTTTCGTCGCCGTGGGTGCAAGGCTCTACTCTAATATCTAGATAATGGGAGATTTATGATGTTTTCTGCGTATCGTGCGTTCCCCCTTGCGCGGATGTATACGAAGCATCCCACGTCGTTAATTATACGAGATGTCGCTGTGTTACATAATTAAATGTCGGAGAGAAACAACTTCACCCAAAACACTTGAGCGTTAAACTAAAATAATATCATGTCGATTGTAAAACGTAATATATTGTATGTAGTACAATATATCTTTTTTTATGTCAAATGTTCTCAAGCGTACAGGCTGTTCACCTCATTTTACTGGAATACCGCCAGTAACGGACTTTAACCCAACCAAGAGAGCTTGCAAATGCGTTGACCTTTAAAAAAGTGGGCCCCTGTTACCTCACTCACCAGACGAAATGCTAAAGTTTAAGGCCGTGATACCTCAGCAGAAGCTGTTGCGTTGCCCTACCATTTAAAAAAAAAACCTTTTTTTTTTTTTCAAAATAAACCTAGCAGTAGATTAACTCAAAACCTTCGTCATCGCGACTCAACGTAAACGCAAACAAAAACGGTTCCATATCGTATCCATTGGTTTATAACTATTGGTTAACTAGACAACGTACGTAACACGCGTTTACTGACATTTATTTCTCGAAAAGTCACAGCTTCACGCACAAATTGTGGATAAATGGATTTTCTTTCTTTCTTTCTTTCTTTCGATTCGGCGGGAAAAAGACCTAACCAATCGCCGATAAAGGATCTAACTCACGCGTCGGGCCCCAATTTGGCTCTTTTGTGCACTACAGGCGTCCAACTTTCAGCGTACGCCAAATTACTTTAGCAGGCACGCGCCGTGGAACAGATCACTGAATTATGGGGCAATTTATGTTGGACTGTTAGTTATGTTGCCGTTTAACGGAGCCCCTGTAGTTCGTCGGCTGATGAGAGCCTTCCAGGGCGACGGTATTTCGGTACTTTTCTGGGTCTAATCAGTGCGTTACAGCCGCGGCGAATAGGAGATAGGCATAGATCTTTCAAAAATTTCGATTTACATTTGACTGATCATTAAATAGTTAAACTATTTGAAGCAATGATGATATTAAAGATAAAGATGACTCATGTCCATACTGCGAGGCGTTTGAATATTGTTCCGCTTTACATTACATGACGTATATACGTGAATGTGACAGATGATATAGAACGTATGGTACGGAAAGAGATAGCCGTCAATAGAATTGCAATCTAATTACACCAATTGGCGTAATTTGAGAGGCTCAGTTGCGGTTCGCTAGTGTCATATCTATACCTCGTATTTGTGTATAGTATCATTGGTTTGAAGTTGAACTATAATAAGCTAGCTTTTTTTTAATTGATTGTAATTAAATTTTTTTTAGTTAATTGTAAACACATACGGGGTGAAATAACAATTCCGTTTTACATCGGTCGTTGTTTGTAATGGTTTATACACGGCGTTCGTTAAGGCGCCGGAATTAGCAATTCAAATGGCATGACGTCGCCACATGTGTAGAAAGGCTGGGTGTAAAGATTGATTGGGCTCGTTCAGAATTCCGCATAGCTCAGACTTCCTGAGTGTTTACGCGAATGACGTTATTTTGCCGTACACCCATAAAGGATCAATTAATATACAAGTAAGTAACAGCGTATACGATTCCAATGATTGGTAAAAGCCTCCTATTTATAGAAGTTATTGGGACACGCGAACCACTTCGGATTGGCAGTCTTCATTATATCTTCGAAATATTTCTTATTGTTATTATTTTGAAAATACGCAGATTTCCCAACGATGTTTTCCTTCACCGCTGAGCACGTGATAAGTCAGCACTTAAAATTTACAATTTCGTTGGTGCACCGGAGATTAAACTCGAGTGTATTAAAACCGAGCGCCCGGACAATGAGCTATCGCGGAAATTCATTATGGAAGCAGATATTCACGCTCATTTTGCATATTGCGAATCCGAGACGTAGATATGACGTACGATTTAACCAACACTGGCGGCATACTTCACACGCCGTGGACGAATTTGTGAACAATATAGCACAGGACATCGTTTAAGGGCGAGGCGCTCTAACAAACTAACTTTGGTTCGTCCTTTAGTTAATTCTGAACCGAGACAATGGACGGCCGTGGCCGAAAAACTTGTCACGATAACCGAAACAGTCAAACGGACAATCAGACGGTGGTTACGATCACGCTTTGTAACAATTGTGGGTAGCATCCTCGTCTATTTTATATTTGTAGTAGGCCATGTCTTCGCTTTTGTACGAATAGGCAAGTCCGACCGGGAAAGTACTACAACGTCTCCGAAGACCGGCGAGAAATGGAAGTATTATACTTCTGCGTTTCGTCTTTTTTTTTATGTGAAAAGTTGCCAAACGAGCAGACGGTTCACCTGATGGTAAATGAATACCGCCGCCCATGGACATCTGCTACGCCCTAGGGTTACACATGTGTTGACAACCTTTTGAAAATTGGACTCCGGCTACCTCACTCACCAGCCGAAACGCGAAAGTATTAGTCATACTTCCACTTTACGCTGATCTTTTGTGAGATCGTGGTACTTACCCGGACGGGCCTGCCCATTCGTGCAACAGCCGAGGCTGCTGCGTGGCCCTACCACCGTAGAACTACCGTCGTCTGGGGCCTACTTTATTAAAATGCAATGAATCTGCAACCCTACGGCTGTTGCAAATGTCAATAGACGACGATAATCACTTAACATCATGTTAACCGCCAGCTCGCTTGCCATATAAAATAACTGTGTTACTATTTATGATAGTATATATAGTATCCATCACTAAAATCTAAATCGTAAAGCCTAAAAGAATACTTGGGTGTTCGCCTCTAAAACTCCCATAAAATAAAAGCAACAAATCTTAGTCCAATTCAAATATAAATATATAAATGTTACGATTGAGTTTTTCTGCGAGAGTAAAATACCCCGAGGCAGCAGTTAGCAGACTCAAGATTTTCAAAGGGAACTGTAATAAAATTATAAACGGACCATTGTACTGCGACCACACCACTCAGTTCCTTGGTCGATTCAGAAAGTTGCGACTCATTTTCTCGGGCCCATTTCAGCTGGGACCGTGACGGAGGCAAAGAAAAGAAATCTTAACCCAACTACGGGAGAACTTTCTCGAGGCGGTCTCTAATTAAATTCCTAATTTCTACCCGTTACTTATTCTTTTTTTATGCGATAAATTGGCAAGCGAGTAGATGGTTCATTTGATGTTAAGTGATGACCGCCGCCCATTGACATCTGCAACACCTGACGAGTTGCACATGCGTTGCCAACCTTGACAAATTGGGCACCGTTTACCTCTGATGTATGGACTTCCCCGGACACGCCTGCCCATTGGGGCACATCAGAATCTCTTGTGTCGCTTTAGTACAATAAAAAAATAAATTTGATTATCGTTAGACATATACATACAGTTATTTAATACAAAACCTCCGTAAATGTACTACCAAGACTTTGTAACGTGATCAGTTTCTCGTGATTAAATCATTATTGAGACTTCTTTATCCTATATTATTTTCCTTCCGCCGTCGACCTACCGATAAGAATCGCAATCAATATTTATGCAAAATAAAGACACGCACAAAATAAATTTAATATGCACCCCGATAGCTCCGTGGTCTTTTATTCAATATACTCGAGAAGCAGCAGTTCAAATGCCGGTGCCGGCACCATTGAAATTGTTAATTACAAATGCTGACTTATCACGTGCATAGCGGTGAAGGAAAACATCGTGAGGGGACCTGCGTATGTCGGAAAATTCGAAGATACGTGAAATCCGCCAATCCGCAACGGAGTCGCGTGGGGGACTATGCCCTAATCCCTCCGTACACAAGGCCTTTGCAGCCCAGCAGGCCAGCAATGGAACATATATTGGCCTCCAATGTTATTACCCTTTTACTCAGTGATGTGCTGGGCTCAGACAAATTTCTCATGGTATTGTACCAACAAGTTGGCCCTTTAAGCTACACGTAATGACTTATCGAAACACATGGCCGCACTTAATCCCGGCCTGTGAGCCAACGCGAATAAACCGCCACTTAAGGCCGACGGTTAAACATCTCGGTTGGTAATCGATGCATCCGATATGCACTTGTAACAACACCGACGCGTATTCCAAACAAAGTAAGGCCACCAAAACTTTCTTCGAATGTAACGTTTTTGCGAAAGAATTTGACAAACCAGACTGTATATGATGCGGAGCGATTACATTAGTATCCTTTTGTTGAATAAGATAATCTGTGTCGTAGATGTGTTTTAAAGAAAACGACGACAAACACACGTAAATAGGGAATTTTTTATGTTTTTCGATCATTAAATGTTGGGAACGTATCCCACGAAACCGTAAAAGAGGAAAATGTATCTAACAAACCCTCTATGGGTGGCGGCAATTAATAGCTATGTAGTTGCATTGCAGCAGCATAATAGATTTAAGAAACTCATTATACTAATAATTAAAATTGCTATCACAAAAATCTTCCATGTGAAGTCGTTTCGACTCAAAATATAAGGCGATTTCTTCTTCGACTTTCTGTAAAATATTGTTTTTGCTTGCTTTCTTAAAGAAATAATCAAAGCTACTTTGTATCTTGTATTAACTGATGTTTTTGCTTTCAGTCCCGAGACTATTAAATCTTCATCTGACGCAGAACCGGTGGGCTAGCCAGAACCCACGGGTTTGGGCCCTCCGCTGTGTGTAGGGCAACGCATGTGCACATGCGTGCGTTTAACTACATGTCATCTAAGGGCCATCGAAGTTCAAAGCTACTTCGAACACAGATCCAACAGAAACGCTAATTTTAACGGCACTCATTAAAAAGGCGGTAATGAACACCTCAACAATTTTCCAACTTAACATTACCGATCGAAGAGATCCGTGAATACGTCTCTGATGAGATTGCGTGCAGAATTATTAACACGCGTATCATGCATTAAAAGCAAATCAGATGACGTCAGCCCGAGCATTACTTGCGAACTTAGCAGCTATATGGTTCTTTAA